TATGACTGGAATGCTTGTTATTGTTTCAGTCCCTAATTCTAATACAGAACTACCTTGATCAGCTCTGTTGACTTCAACTTGATGCTCACCAACTGGAACATAACCAATATCACAGGATATTTCAATGTCTGTTATTGACTGCACTGAACAATCATGCTCACCAACTGTCACAGTTACAACTCCATTACCAAATCCTGTTCCAGTGATTGTCAAGCTTGTACTTGCTCCAAAGATGTCAGTTGGGCTGATGGTACTCACAATAGGAGTCATGGCATTTGAGAATTCAAACAAACACAAGCCAAGACATTCACTTGTAGTTGAGCCAATCATTATGGAAACATCAAACACTCCTCTTATATTTGGTGAAGTGATGCAAACGATTTCATTGTATGCGACAGACTCAACTTCACATGGTAGTCCTACCACAACTGCTGCATCACTGGAAAACCCACTACCCTGGATAGTAACTCTGGCACCCCCAGCTAAGGATCCACTATCTGGAGTAACACTATCAATGTGTGGAATCAGTTCAAATGTGGCTGATCCACGGTTCAAAGCAAAACCATGGTTCTCCACTTGTACAGTGATGGGATGTTTAACTCCAACAGTTAATGCATCTTCAGTATCTATATCACATACAATTATGGTCTCAGTACAGGACTGTACATTACATGGATGACCAACTATCGTGACTTGGTTAGCACATTGCGTGGTTGCAAATCCTTCTCCAGTAATGGTTATTTGTGTACCACTGGTACCACTAGTAGGATTCACAGAGTCAATGATTGGAGTATAGCATCCAGTATATACAAAGTAGAATATGTTGCTGTCAACACCAACTGGCTGGGAAGTAGCACAGGACGGATCAGCAGCCAGACAAGATGATGATGAAGTGACTGAAACACCTGAAAACAATTTTTTTATTAAATGCAAAGATAAATATATGTAATACAAATGATGTACTGTATTGTGATGTTTTTGCTTTCTTCAGAGATCTCACCATACTGGTCAGCCCCTGACAAGCACTCAAAATTAGCAAACACTGCGAAAACACAACTGACCAGGACAAATGTTATTATAATTACGCACTGACCAACACGCATCCAGCAGTCGTGGATTAAAAAAAAATTTACCGAGTTGAACGATGTGGTAGCGGGTTGTAAACAATACACTTTTGTGAAATTAGCACCTCATTGTTTGTTAGTAAATACTTTTTGACAATACGCAAGTTTGAAATTCCTAATTTGAAAGCTAAGGTTCTGCCAAAATTACTCCCAGTCCGATATATTATGGTCAAAGCAGAGGTTACAATCTGTTTACGCTACTCAAGGAAAAACATTAACCAAAATGACATTTTTGACCCATCGGGACAAAGGACACATGCTGGTCAAATAATGCGTCATAAACACCATGGTGGGTCTTGATTAATCGTTAAAGTGATCAAAATGATCTAAAACATTTGTTCACGATAAAACTCAAAGTCAAATTTTACTTGTATTTCATATCAAAACAAAGAAGTAACATTTTTTGCATGGCATCTTAACTGAGTAAGAGGCATTTATTGATATAACCAGTGTATAACCATGAGAAATATTAAAGACACGTTGTAACTTTGATGATCGTTTACAAGTGATGAAGCTGATGGTATGATCAATAAATTATAACAAAAAATTACGATGGATATTTTGAAGGAAAGTGTTTTTGTGGTAATTAAGATGGTGAAGCTCATGTACATATTCCTGGCTACAATATTTCAAATGCTTTTTATTTGACTCTTTCCAATAGACATCACAAAAAAAAAAAATTGTCGTGGTAATTAGTCGAAAATGTTTTGCATTGTTTTATATTTAAATTCCAACTATTTTACATTCATGGAATTTTTATTTTATTTGATGTCTAATTTTGACCACTTGTAATACATGATTCATACTACTTACCAGAGTTGGTTTCGTACAAAGCCTCAAATCCACCAACAGTTACACTAAGCGGTTCAGTGACGGCTACTGGATCAGTAACGATAACAACTCCTTTCATGAAAAATTCTCCAAAACTGTCAACTGGACCACTGGAATAGTAGTATGTCCCAGGTACAGTGAATGTGTGGGAAAATGAACCTGTAAAAAAGTAAAAGTCAATTTAAGTTGTATCCAGCACTGCAAGAAATCAAAAAAGCACACTGACAAGTCATTGACTTGACAAAGTATACCAAACCAACCAAGTCACCAATTTTGAATTAAAACATGACTGATGTGTAATGTATGGATGAACATCATTTTGTAATTGTTGTATTATGCTGTTGACAGCATTTTTGTAAAATTCAGTGGAGTGTCATTATCTGAATTCAAAAATGTGCATGGGCATGCATGGACAATGATATCAAAGCTGGTTAGAAATATACAGTGTTAATACAGAAAATAATTTTAAGAGCAGAGGTTGGTGTTATCCATGCTGTAGGATATACTAACCTGTTGCTGATCTGCTTTGTGTTTTAAATCCTGATCCATCATACTCTACAGAATTAGCATCTCGAGTCTGCTGAACACCATAAGTGATACCCTTAATCAATCCTGGTAAGCCCCATTCCCACAGTACGGTGTCACCAGCTTCTATTGTTATGCTCTGTGGACTCCATTTATAACCTAAACCATAATCTGTAGAAGATGACAAAATATTGTATGGATGCAGTCACTGATTCATGATACAGTAATTTATAACACTTATTATAAAAGTATTTATATTGTGTACTACAAAACATCGAAATTTGTTGAGTGCGAGAAATTCATGAAAACTGTCATAGAAAATAATTACTAGAAATGTTAATGGTTTACAGTAACCTGTCCCAGATGAGAGTTTGTACCCAAGTTTTGGGGATGTTCCACAACCAAACGTTTTCTCAATTGGAATACTGTTGTTAGTCTGACAATGTGCACTGATCTAAACACTATTTTCTGTTCAAGCATTTTTTTCACAGCGTTTTAACTTTAAAACCTAAATGATATAAAATAACAACCAACTCTTCTCAGTGTATTTCATCTAAGGTGTAATGTGAACGTTGAGAGATATATGAGAACATGTTTGGCACAGCATTTCCATTGCAACTATTTTGGTGGTAAAACAGTGTCTGCTTATTGAGATATTGCAACAGATTCTTACCTGCATGAAGTCCTGAATTATCAACATTATGTGTGGTGCCACTGTCTCCAGCCATGCATTGTATCTCATTAGAATTACTGCTTATAACCAGACATTCAATGTTACCAAATATGACTACATTTTCAGAATTGACATTACTGAATCCCTCCCCGGATATTGTTACCAGAGTGCCTCCCTTGATGGATCCATAACCTGGATTGATTGCAGTCACACTCAACTGATAGGTAATAGTTGTTTCAAAACTGTATACAAAAATAAATGTAATGTTTGTCATAGAATGAATTGAGTTTTGTAACCTCAATAATTCAACACTTTTTTACTGATTTTATCAATGACCTCAATATGTGGTCTTTACAACAAGTCTCAGAAGCAATGGAACAGCAGGTTGAAAAACTAGTTCGCAAATTTGCTGGTAGATTGGGATTTCAATAAACTGCAGTTGGCTTATTCTAGACTTTTCCAAACATCCTGCCAGAGATTTATCATCTCACAGGTGGTTGATGTATATTTTAATAAAAAATCAAGTTAGATAACAATAGTGACTTCAATCTCACCATCATAGTTTAATTTGAAGAACATATTCAAAGTTTTTTTTTGAATTTCATCCCTTTTCTGGTGCAGTATAGATTCACCATATAAACATTTCTGCTTAGAACTCTTCCAAGGGGGAATATGGATTATAACAGGGTCCAAATCTAACTTTTAGCCAATAAAACCTGCTTTGTGTTTAGTACTGAGCTCCTTTGTTGAGTACATCAGAAGTTGTCAGAAAGGAAA